GTTCTTTCTTTTTTCACTCCATAACTCAACAAATATGTAAAATATTTCCCATATGTTGCCACCTAAACAAATATAGCAGTAACTAAATGCATATGGACTTCATATTTCTGTGCTGGGTGTGATTGAAACAGTGGCCTGTGATTTTAGTCACAAAAATTGAAGGAAGGGGAAACTTTTAATTATAAAAAGGATTTTTTTTTTCATTTATTATTTCATTGTATTCAGTTTGTTATTAGTACCCAACATTTACTTAAATCTACATGTGTTGCCTACATTAGTGCAGTCATGTCGGTGGTCAGTGCTGATTGCTGTTATCACATTTCGACTGTAAATCTCACCGATACTTATCACCAGCAGAGTGTGTGCCATGTGTTTTATCTACCGGCCTCACACAGCCCTCAACTCAGGTGCAGAGTGTATGTGTGAATGGCAAGACAAAGCCATCTCTGTGTTTTACTGCTCCTCTGTGCTTGTTATGCCTTCAGGCCAGTGAGACAGGCCTGATCGCTCCCCAGGTTTCCTCTCCCAGCATGGCTGAGCGCTCAGAGACCGGGCACCTGGACTCTACCTGCGTCCAGCAGTAATGGATCCTCACCCGTGGTCTGTAATTACCTGGATGGGCATAAAGGTGGCTTGTTGTCGGAGATACTGCGCACATTCAAGCCAGAAGGATCCTGACGCGCTCGAGGAGGAGCCCGTGCCACATGATCTCCCCGAACAATGAGAGGTGTTTTTGAGCCGCCTATAGATTGGGGAGCCGTTCCCGTGACCCAGCGCTCTCCTTGCTGCCCTTGCCTGTCTCTTTCAATAGCGACTCGCCACCTGCCCCAGGCCCCCTCTACCACACTCTTGCCACACTCACTGACTCCATTCTTCTGCACATGACCTGGAACTCCCCGCCACAATACAGAAGCTGCCATGGACGCCTGGCCAGATTGGCTGATCTGACTGTGAAAGATGCCATTCTTATCATCAACCTACTGTCTGAGGATCAGAGGCCCAATGGCCTTATCTCACTGGCATATCGTTCCCTCTTGTTTCTCTCCTCCTTTTTCTTTCTGTTTTTCCTGATTTCTTTGTAAACTTCCCTTTTTTTTTCCAAGTACTTTGTTGGCTTGACTGTATAATGATACTGCCACAGCATCAAAAAACAACAGCAAAACAAGTGACCAAAAGCAAGGTGTCAGTATAATTTTTCTTTTATTTTATAAAAGGGAAAAAAAGTTTAATTTATTTTTAATATTGTTTGTAAATATGTGTGTGTTTAGTTGTACCTAAAATAAGAGTTATTAATGAAATATAATTATGTAAGAAAATTATTATTGATTTTTTTTGGGGGGGGGATTGAAATAAAATCAAATATATAAAAAATAATTAATAATAAGATAAAATATCATGCTCTAGCCATAAAAAAGCAATTATTTGTACAATCGTACAAATAATAATCAACAAAACCATAAAAATATTGTTTTATTGAGTTTATTATTTGGAATTTGTGCTGTTCACGTTTGCATTGTTTATATTGAGCCAAGAAGGAAGGAGAATGTCTCTATCGCTCTCTTTTTCCTTGAGATGAAGGTAAATCATTCAGCACTTTTTGGTGTCTGTGGAGCATTCTTGTCTTGCTGAAGTCCTTTTCTGGCTGTGAGGAGAAAACTAAATGATTTGAGCACATGGTGGATTATTTTAGTGGACAGTAAAACAAAACCGGTGAAGAGACTGTCTGAAAATACACTGCTAGTTTTTGTATTATAAGTTTTATGTGTCTGTGGATAATAGAGTTGTTTAGCAGTAGTGTGTTGATATGATGGGTCAGTTAGCAGCCAACTAGAACATCCTAGCAACCATGTAGCAACATGATAAAGAACACTCAGAGCACCTCCATACAGTATGTGTGAACTGAGGGCAGTGTTGTGTGTGTGTGTGTGTGAGAGAGAGAGAGAGAGAGAGAGAGAGAGAGAGAGAGAGTGAGTGTGTGTGTGTTTGTAGTGCCAGGGGCGAGAGCAGCTGCTCTTTAAAGCGACTGAATGGACAGCAATGTGTCAGGCATCTGCTGTGTACTCACTCAAAGCTTTTACCTCTGCAGCGTTGCAAGCCAGTCCAACACACTCGTACCATCAACATATGAATCCCCTACGCATCATTCCTACAGGTCTAAGCAATTCTGTTGCGAAGTTGTGATTTAGGGTCAGTTTTTTGGATACTTTCCAACACCTTTGTGTTTGCTTGAAAACTCTCCATGGCCATTGGAGGAGCCGGGTTGTCGTATGTGGGCTTCTGTGAGTGTTTTGGGGCATAATTGAGCACATCTGGTCGAGTGGGGTTAGATGTTGGAGTGCAATGAGGTGACAGGAAGGACATGTGCAGGCGTTGGCACTCCATGTGCTGTTAAGATCCGTACAGCCATGATGGCAAACAGAAGTGGGCGAGTTGTAGACCCTTCTCACCTTGACCTCAGTATCTTGCCTGCTTTCAGCAGGATATTGATTCTAAGGATTTGGCCACAATGATAGACTAGTTGACCAATCATTTTTCTAGATTCTTTTTTTTTATATATATATATATATATATATTTTATATAATTTTATTTTATTTTTTTACTTTAGCTGCGGTGCTGTGCTTTGGAACTGTAAACCCCTTTTGGAAAAGTTGCATCTTTAAATTAAAATGCACAGATTTTCTGTACAATATCAGTTATCAGCCAATATAAGAGCTTTTTTATTATCATTATTTATCAGTATCAGTCAATATTGGATATTTTTCAGCAGATAAGGGATGTTAAATGTAGATAACTTTTGCTGTCATATAAAGCTTATTTAAAGTTCATCTTTAAAAACACTAATTTAGTAACACTTAAATAATCTTTAGAAAATCTCAAAATGAATATCCTTTTTTTATACTGTACATTATAATGTTTGTATGTTTATTATTGTTTTAGTTTATTTAGACAAATGTATTTTATTTATTTTATTCTATTCTAGAGATAAAAAAACAATATGCATTTTTCCCATTGTACATTGTACATGTTGTGATGTCTAAATTCACTTGTATTAATAAAAAATTATTTTAGCTTTTATTGAAAATCTAGTTTTGCACAACACTAGTAGATTCGCACATACTCTTCTCATGCTGCTGAATTGCTTCCCATTCCTCTCTCAGAAGTAAGGCCTCAGCCTGTGAAAGTACATACTTGCTTCAGGCACAGTGTGTTCTGTCTCCATCTTCTCCACTGTGTATTTTTGTTGTTATGTGTGTGCGTGTGCTCCTGACAGCCGCAGAAAAGCACAGCTCTTAGTTTCGGTCCCGTTGTCCCAGCCTGCCACATCCGAGCGTACCAGCACACTCTGACGGGGGTGACAGAGTGACGGGCCCCCTCTGAGGTGGGGCCACAATTAAAAGCTAAGAACAAAAGCTCTCCATGCCGAAGTGTGGGCCTCGGCGACTCAACATATGCCCGCCGCTCCCAGCACAGCCCTCCAGACGCTAATGGAGTCTGACAGCGTCTCCGCACGAGGCGGCATTATCTTCCCCAGCATGCACTCTCCCTCCATAATGTATTGATCGGGCAGCTGCGATGGTATTTTTTACACCTCAGAGTCGGCGCCTGATGTACGCTACTTCATTGAGTCATTACGGCGAGCGGAGAGTGGCACGTAGAAAGAGCTGTTAAAAATGAATAGAGGATGAAAAATGAGAAAGCATTCCATCAAACCCCGCCTCTTCCTCGCCGCTCTCCGGCCGGGAGACAGCAAGTCTGTTGCATTTGTTTTGTGTCTTTTCGATTGTCGTGTGAGCGAGTGTGTGTCACAGTTAATGTTTGTTTTTTTTAGACTGGTGCTGTTGTATACTTGGTTGGCAGACATTCAAAGTTGTTACTTTTCGGTAACTGCACAGTTAAGTTTCACCTCTATTGACCGCATTACAGTTCCATATTATTTGTGCCTGTGTGTGTGTGTCTGTGTCTGTGTCTGTGTCTGTGTCTGTGTCTGTGTCTGTGTCTGTGTCTGTGTCTGTGTCTGTGTCAATACTTGGTTGGCAGACATTCAAAGTTGTTACTTTTCGGTAACTGCACAGTTATTAAGTTTCACCTCTATTGACCGCATTACAGTTCCATATTATTTGTGCCTGTGTGTGTGTGTCTGTGTCTGTGTCTGTGTCTGTGTCTGTGTCTGTGTCTGTGTCTGTGTCTGTGTCTGTGTCTGTGTGTGTGTGTGTGTGTGTGTGTGTGTTTTAAATGAAGCAACCAGTGTAGTTTGATTCCCGAACAATTCATTCTAATGAGTCTGTTCTTTTTAGTCAATCAAAAGCATCTAGAGAGCCCAGTGTTGTATCAAAAAAATGATACCGCATACGACTAGTGTAGTCTAAATGATTCCCAATCTAATAACTTTTATGATTTTTTTATTTATTTTTTAGTTAATCATACGCATCCAAGGTGACCAGTGTAGTCAGATTCCCAAAAACAAATGATTTTTGGAGTTCTAATAATTCTTATCAAAAACTGTACAGCATGACCAATGAAGTCCAAATGATTTCTGAGCAAATGACTCTTTTTAGTGAATCAATCACACGTAGCTTACAACTTTCTGTTATGTTGTATTTCTCCTTAGTGTAATAATCAGTGTATGTGTAAAACAAGTTTGTCTTTAAATTTATACATCTAAAATGTATTTATAAAAATTATCATATTGTTTGGCAATGAAATTACTTAAAGTATTACTTAAATGTATAAAAAA